TTAAATTCTGACATGAGCGATTGGGTCATCTTAGGCAAAATATGATTTGTCGGATTTCCTTAAATTAAATGGGGCATTCAAACCAAATCCGACCAACTGCATATCACAATTTTCCCCCTTTATCTAATACGTGGTAAAGAAGCAAAACATTTCCTATCTGCGTATTCTTTATTTGCAGTCCATGTTTCTATATCACCACCATAGCGTACCTCTATGGGACCTCGGTGAAGGTACATACATTATTTATGAAACTCCGTCAATAATTTAGTACCTATGGCCCATGTTAGGGGATCAATTTACAATTTAGTACGCTAACTACATTTTTATTGAAGATCGATTCTCGACATTAGGGGGAGATTAGTGCCCAAAATACAAAATAATGTCAAGAAATTCCATTGGTGAAAAAGATCTTCAATATTTATATCCACGTACTAGTCAAACTGAACCAGAAGTTCACATGATAATCTGCTAAGAAAAGAGTGACTAAGCCCCATATTCATGTTGAATATATCATTGATGATTTGGTATGCCAGAAGCATATTGTGCCAGAAGCATATAAAACATGTTAGTGTAAAAGATAAAAGTCCGAGGCAAACTAAATTATATATATAGAAAGATAGTCACTCCCATAACCTCCAGAAGAGGTTCATCCTGAAGATGGAATCTCCAGTAAATTGCACGTGCACTAGATAATCACAATACTGGAGATGCGGAACGGCCAAATCCAAACGTTAAGGGAAATGGCGAGGATTTGGTTGACATAAAATAAGAATTGAAGTGGCCACGAATTTGTGAAAAAGGAGAAATATATAATAGAAATATAAAAGTTGTCGACAACATAGTTGCCTCTACAGTTGCTCTTACTATCTCCGAAAATAATCTGGATCCAGAACCTAAGTCGGTAATAGAGTGCTTGAAGCATTCGGACTAGGTGAGATGGAAAGTGGCAATTGAGGCTGAGCTGAACTCGCTAAAGTATTTTTGAACCTGTAGTTCATATATCCATGCAGGATATAATGGGTCTTCGTAAGAAAAATAAATGACAATTGTAAGGTGGTGAGATATAAAGCGAGATTCATAGCTCAATGGGTTCACGCAGAGACCCGACATCGATTTAGATGTAAAATATTCTCCTATTAGTGATTGTATTACGTTCCGCAAGTTAATACATATGGCAGAAACTATGAATTTATATATGCAGTATATGTACGTCATGACCACATTTTTATATGAGTCATTAGACGCTAATATTTTTATATGAAAGTCCCTGATGGACTTAAAATTTCTGAATTAAGAGAAAACAAGAATCGCAACATGTATAGCATTAAATTATAAAGGTCATTATACTACTTGAAACAGTTGGGTAGAATGTGGTATGACCGACTGAGTAAGTTCCTCCTGAAGAGGAGATATGCAAATAATGATGTATACCCTTGTGTGTTTATAAAGAAATTCAAAAATGGCTTCTGTATTATATCAGTCAATATTAATGATATAAATGTTATTGGAACGCACAAGGAGCTTATAGAAGCTAGCTCATGCCTAAAGACGGAGTTTGAAATGAAAGACTTGGGAAAAACCAAGTTTTGTCTCGGCCTGCAGATCGAGCATTTTCCCAGAAGGAATTTTTCTACACCAGTCAACCTATGTGAAAAAGGTTTTGGAAAGATTTTATATGGATAAATCTCATCCACTTAGCACACCAATGGTCGTTCGGTCCCTCGAAGTGGATAAAGACACATTTAGACCCAAAGAAGATAATGAAGAAATGTTAGGGCCAGAAGTTCCCTATCTGAGCACCATTGGAGCACTTCTTTATCTCACAAATTGCAACAGGCCTGATATTGCATTTGCGGTGAACTTGCTAGCAAGGTATAGTGCTTATCCTACAATGAGGCAATGGAATGTCGTTAAACATTTCCTTCGCTATCTTCAAGGTACAAAAGATCTTGGACTATTCTATAAAAAAAACCAAGATATGACATTGGTGGGCTATTAGAACGCTGGCTACATAGCTGATCCCCATAACGCCAGATCCCAGACTGGTTATGTTTTTCTCTGTGGTGGTACTGTCGTTTCTTAGAGGTCTGTTAAGCAGACTATGGTGACTACTTCTTATAACCACTCAGAGATTATCGCTTTATATGAGGCCTCACGAGAATGTGTATGATTAAGATCGTTGATACGACATATTTGTGGCTCGTATGGTCTAGCGAAAGATGATATTACCCCCACTGTCCTTTATGAGGACAATGCAGCTTGTGTTGCACAAATGAGCAGTGGATATGTAAATGGAACCATGAAAAAACATATTGCGTCAAAATTCTTTTATCCACATGAGCTCCAAAAGAATGTCGCAATAACCATCGAAAAAGTTCGCTCAAGTGACAATCTTGCAGATTTGTTCACTAAGTCTCTGTCTACATCAACTTATGAGAAATATGTTCACAATATGCACAGACTTGAAAGACTATCTTCTTCAGGGGGAGCAAATTCTTAAAGAACAATCCTGAAGATTGAGCCCTGAAGGTCTATTATCATAATTTGCCCCTTTTCGCTAAGTTTTGTCCCACTGGGTTTTTCTTAGCATAGACTCAGAAGATTGTCATCATCAGGGGGAGCGAATTTTTAACACAATCCCGAAGATTGTACCTTGAAGGACTATAGTTGTACTATTTTTTTTCCTTTTGCTAAGTTTTGTCCCACAGGATTTTCTTAGCTAAAGGTTTTTAATGAGGCAACTAATGCAACACAAGAATCTACTTATGTCGTGTACTCTTTTCCTCGACTAGTTTTTATCCCACTGGGTTTTTCTAGCGAGGTTTTTAACGAGGCATTGACATCATGTAGTAATGTCCAAGGGGGAGTGTTGTAAATATAAATACAATGAATGTGGACATTACTAGAAGAAGACTCTTCACCTACTTGTGACTTTTAGTATTCTCTTCCACATCTATATAATGTAATCCATGGAAGACAAAATGTAATTGAGGAGAAATGAAGATGAATAAAATGAGATGATCACTTTCTCCCTATCTCTTTTCTTGTTTATTTACTTTTACATTTCATGTTCGATTCTTATCTTTGATATGTGATGTATGTAGATACAACAACGAGATTACAACAGTATATAACTTTTGCTTTATTGAAAATTAAAAAAATAATCTCAAAAGAAAAAAAAAACAAAGAAGCGCCTAAAAATCTGAAAATCACAGACAACCAACTAAAATATGCAATTAGCCAATTGAAATTTTTTGAAGGCCCTTAAAACTTGAAAATTGCAAATGATCCTTCGAAAAATCTAAAACTTACAGTTAACCAATTAAACATTTGAAAAATTACAAAAATTGCGAAAAATCCCATGGAGATTCAAAAATTACAAATAACCTTCTAAAAAAATATAAATTATAAATAACCCTAAAAAATAAACAACCCTCTGAAAATCTATATTTATAAATAATCCTAAAAGTCCTACATTGGAAATAGCCCTCAAAACCATAAATTATAAACTACCACTTAAAATTCAAAATTTACAAATATCCCTAAAAACTTGAAAATTACAAACACATCCTAAAAATTCAAAAATAACAAAAGAGACTTTTTTAAATTCAAAAATTATAAATAGCTACTTGAAAAACCTGAAAATTACAGTCCCCTGAAAAGTAAAAATCTTCAAACTTTGAAGAGGTATTTTATAACTTTTAGATTTTAAAGAGGATTGTTTGCAATATTATATTTTTTAAAGGTGAAAGTTCATAGTTTTCAAAGTTGTAATTTAAGTGATAAAACCTAAATATTAATGGGGCTTTTTGAAAAAATTTATTAGGAACATTTTGGTCATTTGATAACTTATAAACTAACGATGTTAACTTTAAGGGTTTTCAGATAAAAGTTAAGGGTTTCGTTAGAGTTTCAAAACTTTGATGATATGTTTTGAATAAAATAATGTCTGACAAGCAAAAGAGCATTACAAACTTTGATGTTATTTTCTAATCATATACCATCTTATAATGACAAGTCTTCAAACATGATATACATATTAGAGGTATTAACAACAAGTTATACCAAACATATTATTAAAATTTTAATTCACTGCAATCATGAGCATTATCATATCCAAGAATATACGAGTTAAATTAATCCCTAGAGTAGGACAAGTCCCCAATCTAAAATGCACCAAAGCAACTTGCGTTATATTTTCAGTTACACGAACTATAAGGATTTAAGAGAGGGGGAAAAAAAAGATAATTGTTATACACTAAAAAATTGGGGCTATTTGCATATATACCCATTAAATCATGAGTATTTGTAAAAATACTCTTTACATCTCAGTATTTATAAAACTACCCCTCATATCATCAAATTTGAAGAAAAAAACCAGATCTATCAATCATCAACTCTAATAGGCTAATTTGCAACTCTAATATAAAATTTATCAACAAAACAGTTAAATTTATACTTATTAAGTCAATGATTTATTGATTCTAGAGCATTTTTTTGACAAAATTACTGAGTTGAGGGGTAGTTTCGCATATAATTTGAAGGGTAGTTTTGCACATAACCATGATTGATATGCACATAACCCAAAATTTTGCTACTGCTTTTCCTTGATAAAAAATGAGAAAATGATAGGGGCACACCCCCAACCACATCCCAAACCACACCCCCTCTCTTATGTGCTACAGTACACCGGATTCCACATGGGATTTTAAAATTATAAAATTCTATGTGAGCCCCGGTATACTATAGCACATAAGAGAGGGGATGTGATTTGGGATGTTGTTGGGGGATGTGTCGCTAGTGCCACACTAAAAATGTTGACTACGTGGCTTTCCGTTCAACCAAAGTGGCGACTCAGCACGTCTCGAGAACATAAAATATTCAAAAGAAAACGAAAGCTGGTGAGCGCGTTGCCACCGACTACTTCTGGATACTTCTTTAGAAAATTAGAAATAAATCATAATTAATATCACCCCCAGCCCCTCCCCTGTCTATAAATAATCCCAGAGATTCGTCACCAAAATATCATCACCAGAAAAGAGGGAGAAAAAGGGAAAAAAAGGAAGAAAAAAAAATGGGGCTGAAGGTTTATGGAGTGACGCTGAGTCCAAATGTTTTGAGAGTGGTCGCTGCCCTCAACGAGAAGGGCTTGGATTTCGAGCTCGTCCCCGTCGATCTCGCCGCTGGAGCTCACAAGAAGCCTGAGTTCCTCGCTCTCAATGTAAAAAAAAGAAAAGAAAAGAAGTCCAAAATTAAATTAAAAAACATTTTTTCTCTCTTAATAGCTAGAGCTTTTTTATTCTGATTTCTTTTTCCCCCCCTTCCCTTTTTGTAGCCTTTTGGTCAGGTCCCGGCGTTCGAGGACGGAGATGTCAGGGTTTTCGGTAATTCAATTTTCTGTCCCTTTTTTCTCTTGTTATTATTTTGTATAGATTCGTAAAATATAGGGCAAATCTTTACAAAATTATTGATGACGGACGTGTGGAGTTATGGATTAGATGATAGATCTACTGATTTAAGGCTGAGGGTTCTGTTTGCAATTAGCTGATTGTTTTAGGGCTTGTTTGGATTGAGGAGAATGAGGGTGAAGGGAAGTTAGGGAACCATTCACCTTCATTCACCTTGTTTGGGAACACTTAGGAGGTGAAGTTAATTCACCCTAGTTTTCCTTGGTTCACCCCCTAATAGTATAAAAATTATTACCCCAAATTGGGGTGTAACCAAGGGGAAGAGAATTCCCTTCCATTCCTTTCACTCAGTTTCCCTTAACTTCCCTTCACCCTCTCCAAATCCAAACATGCCCTTAGGGTTACTCCTCTCTTTACCCAACCGCCTCAAAATTTAGCATCAAGTCATTTTGTTGGTGGGGCCCACTTTGTATCATTTGACCGTTCGGTTCATGAAAAAGCTGCACATACAGTTGACTGTACTTGTAATTCATAAAACACAATTGCTATTACAATTTTACAATTTGATTGTATTGCATAACAGTTGTTTTTTTCGTAACGCACCTCCCTAACCATTGGTTATCTATAAATTTAGGTAATTAATTTGATCCTAGCAAAAAGGGTTTTTTTTCCTATTCATTTCTAATATATATCCCTTAAACCATGAGTCTTTGCCAAGCTATCCCTAAAATCTCATTATTTGCAAATCTACTCCCTAAATCATCAATTTTGGGAAGTATACCCTCAATATCAGCTGATCATCAATTTTGCTGGATACGGGGAGTGAAAAAGTTCACTATTTTGTTGATAGTTTTACTATGCTGCTTCAAATTAGCCTATCAAAGTTAATGATCTGTTGATTTAGGAATTAGGAGGTATTTTATTCAAAGTTGATGATTTGCAGAGTGGTTTCCCAAATAATCAGATTTGGGGATGGCTTCGCGAATACCCCCCCCATGTAGGGGGTATAACTAATAAAGAAAGGGTTATTTCACACAATCGATCCCCTGAACTTAGGTGGTTCGCTAACCCTTAACTTTTTTTATTACACAAAAGGCAAAACTTTGGTAGGTCCCTATAAAGTTTTGTCATTGGACCTGCTATCTATGATTTACAATCCTTAAAGTTAGAGAGGTGTATGTTGAGTAAAGATTCTATCAGAATACCTCGTGAAATATGATGCTCTATACGATTAGCTAGAGAACTTTGGCAAGTGTGGTTATTCTATCAATGGTGTAAAAAATACTCGAAGGTGTGTGTATATTGCCTATAAATGCCAAACGTCTACACTTGGGCTCTTAGCTTATAAAGGAATTTTTTATTATTTTCCCAAATAATGAAGCTGGTTTGGTTATAGAAGTTTTGAGGTCCAAGAGGATTACGTGAGCTACCAAGTTTGGGGGTTATTTGAGATAAAAAGATCCCTAGGTTATGTTCGAATACCCTAAAATTCTAGGGGTTTTGTGAATTAAACCCTGAAAAGTTGGTGTAATAATTGGAGAAATTTGTTGCACTAAATCCTAGCTTTAATTAAGAAATGTAATTCGTTGTGAATTCGATTGAAAAGCCTTTTTTGTATTGGGTTTGCAAAATAGTTGTAGCAGCATTAAGCAATAAAACAACCATAACCGAAATTATTTTTCACAGTAAATTGAAAGTTCGTGTTCTTTGAGCTGATACCAACTATTTCTAATGTTCAGATTCCCGCGCCATCAACCGCTACATCGCGACCCAATACAAACAAACCGGTCTGGACCTCATCCCGTCCAAAACCCCGACAGTGCTCGCAGCGGTCGAGTCCTGGGCTGAGGCCGAGGCCCAGCAGTTTAGCCCTGTCGCCTCCAAGCTCCTCTTTGAGATCATCTTCAAGCCGATGTTTGGCTTGGGCGCCACCGACCCTGCTGCTGTTGATTCTCTCTCCGCAGACCTCGGCAAAGTCCTAGATGTCTATGAAGCCCATCTCTCGAAGAGCAAGTACTTTGCCGGAGACGAGTTCTCCCTTGCGGATCTCAACCACATGCCGGCCTTTTCAGCATTGATGACAACGCCGAAGGGGGAGCTGATCGCAGCCCGGCCCCACGTCAAGGCGTGGTGGGGACCGGGAAGTGAGGTTGTGTTTTGATCGCTGCGACCGGGAAGTGAGGTTGTGTTTTGATCGATGATGTTTTAGTAGCTTGTGGTAATAATAAGCGATCAAGGTGTGAGGCTGTGTTCAGGTCCGTTGATGTTTTAGTAGTTTGTGGCTATGGAATAAAAATATGAGCTGTGATTTGGGGATAAGTTATCGTTGACGCAGATAATATTATGATGGTTAATCAAGTATGGTGTAATATTATGATGGTTAATCAAGTATGGTGTATTTTGTTTGGCAGTCGGTTAATATTATGATGGTTAATCAAATATGGTGTATTTTGTTTGGCAGTCGGTTAATATTATGATGGTTACTCAAGTGTGGTGAATTTTGTTTGGCAGTGCAGAGATATCGGCGGCGCTCGTTCAATGGGGGTATGAGTATGGTATTATCTTAATAAGCTTGTTAATATTGTTTTTTTTTTCTTAATAAAAAAAGTTTTATATATATATATATATATATATATATATAATATATTATATATATATTATATATATATATATATATATTATATAATATATAGTATATATATATAGTAAAACTCCTATCCATTTAAGTGCCGATATGAGTCTTGTCCATCAAAATGTTTTTCACTCATCTTGTCTTAAATTTGTGACATCAAAAGATGCAACAAATCTTAAAAATCTTCATATCTATCAAGGATCCCTAATGCCAATATCAAACAATTAAAAAAAGTTGGTGATGAGCTTATTTCTATCCAGCTTAAGTTGACATAAAAGATTTTACCTATATAATATATATATAGAAAAATTGGAGAACCTTGGGTACCGAATGTGGCTTAAAGCAACTTGGCTAGTGATTGTCGCCTAATCTTGCCCGCTACATCACACCTCGAAGATAGCCTCAATCACCCTTCATCAACTCCAAATGTAGTAGTAAAGGACAAGATTAGGCCACATCAACTCCAAGTTGTTAGAGCGCAACTTTGTACCAAAGTTTCTCCTTTCTCGTCTTAATATATATATATATATATAGTATATATATATATATATATATATATATTATATATATATATATATATATATATATATATATATATATATATATGGGAAAAGTGTTCCTAAGGTGACACCTTAGATAATCATCTAAGGACACGGTCTAAAATCACATGATTGAGCTACATTATGGATGATCCGCTCTGTTAAACTTGATCTACATATTCTAAAACCCCAACACACCAAATTTGGGGTGAACCCGTCGTCGTTTAACCCTCCGTCGAGCTATATGAAAAGTTCTATTCATTCGAAACCGTTAAAATTGATACGGGTTCACCATAAAATTGGTGTGTTTGGGCTTAAGAACGTATAGATCAAGTTCAACGGAGCGGATCGCAAAAAAAATTAGGGAATGATGTGATTTATATATATGAGAAAACTAGAGGTGCGCTGCAAGGGTGTTTTTGAAAAATGCAGCGATTCTCTCACAACTCTCAAAAAGCGCTCTCTCTCTCTCACCCCGTGACCCCTAAAACACACACACACTCTCTCTCAGGACCCTAAATCCCCAACTCCAGCCCCTCTCCGTTCCCTAAATCGTCGGCCGAGAGCGCGCTCGCGTCGCCCCCCTTACCGAACAACACCGAGAACCGCTCCGCCGGCGAGACACCGCGACCCGTCGAGCTGCCGATCCATGCCCCAACTCCAGCCCTCACGTTCGCCGCAACTCCAGCCCCTCCCCGTTTCCCCTACTCCAGGCCCCTTCCTCCCCTCCCCCAACTCTGCCACGACACCGGCCGTCGGCCGGAGCCCTCCGTCCCCACCGAAAACACCCTTGTGCTCATCCTCATCGCCATCACTCCCGTCGTCGAGCTGCTGATCTCGCCGTCGATCCCCTTCCCCTCTGCGAGATTGATCTGACGCCACTTTTTGCAGCAGGTAATATCTCGACCCCTCTCTCGATCTTTGATTTAGATCCGAGCTCTTTTTGCCCCAAAAGTTAGGGATCTAATTAGAACCTGTGATGAGCCTGAATTTCCCCTTTTTTTTTGAATGTTAATCATTGTAAATGTGTTATCTTGGTGGTATTTTAGGCGTGCACCTTTAATAATATGTTTATATGCGATGATAATTTGTGTATGATCACTTTAGGAATGTAAGGGGTAGTAAACTTTTTAGGCTCGTCACAGGTAAATATTAATTAGTGTATAAAATAAATAAATAAATGACTAGTATTTTAAATATGTGCGATAAATCATACTGACAACTTCTTAAATCATGTCTGGGCTTTTTTTGGTGAGTGTATTATGAGTGCAACTGGTTGTTGATAAAGTATGGATGAAGGTTCTTGATAGCCCCAAATCCTAGCCCCATTCCTCCGGCTTGATCCCGAGCTCTCTCCGCCCCCCTTCCTCCTGCACGAGCCGCAAATCGGCGTCCTTCCCCAAATCTCCGACCACCGCGACCTCTCTCCACCACGATCGAGGTCCGTCTGCCCCCTTCCTCAGCCCCCTTCCTCAAGTTTGTTAGGAGGTCATTTACTTTGTTTTACACCACTAATTAATTTGATGGCTTAGCTAGATTAGGTATTTGTTTGTATTTGGAGATGGTCTGAAATTATGGACATGTTTGCTTTGAAGAATAATGGAAACTGGAAACTAGAAACATGTTTAACTCATGTCAGAGCAAAGTTTGAAAGTATATATGTTAATTAAGCAGAAACCGGTAGGCAAAGAATGATAGAAATCTTCTATAGCTAACCTGATCACTTCAATAGTTATGTTCAACACGTTGATATTTAGAGGATCACGAGTGAGCTTTTGTATCTGAGTGTGTTTTTATTATTTTGCCAATTATTATTTTTCAATTGCTATGAATATGCAAACTTTTGTATCTGAAGCCGTGGATCATGGAGTCATCTTCAAGCAATCGTCATGGACTGTTTTGCCATTGTAGAAGGAGGTCTATACTCTCTAGATCTGGAACTAAGATGAACCCTGGTCGATTATTTTTTGGATGCGCTAATTGGAAAGTAAGTAATTATGGATTCTTCAAATGGGTATCTGATGAAGAGGAGTTTGAAGGTTCAAAGGCATAGCTTGTTCAGATGAAGCAGTGGAGCGTGACGCCGCAAGTTTCAAGAGCCGTGTCAAGTGGAGAAGTACAGGAAAAAAGAAAGATTGAGATTGATACTATGGATTTGTTGAAGCTTATTATATTTGCTCTTTTAGTTGGTATTTTTCTTGGATTTGTATTTGGTATTTTTATTGGATTTGTGCTAAGTAGGGTATGAGAATGTATTATTGGATTTGTTATCAGTTAGTACTAAATGCGTACAATGAGATATCAATTTGATTCAACTTTGGAGAATATTGCCTTTATGGATATCAATTTGATGTTATCAGTTAGTACTTTGTAACAATATTCATCACAAATTAGAGTCATTAGTAGCAAATAACATAATCATCAAATTCCTACTTTTCCAGCAAAAAATGAGAAATTGGGACAGGTTATTCTTGAAGAACTCAGAACATCTAATAATACTGCCACTGATGAAAGAAAAGTTATTAGATTCTGAATGTCCACTTGCTGAGAGATCTAAAATTGCATGCATCTTAGCTGAGCTCCCATTGGCAGATGTTGAGGTGAAGCTTGTTCAAGATAATAATGTCATGAACATATTCCTTGAACAAATCAGCAATCGTTCACATGAAAGAGCAAAACAGCTAGCTGCACTTGGGTTGAAGTATCTATTTAATTCTTCAACGGTAATAATTTCAACTAGTGATTCAGAGATTCAACCTCCCCCTGGATTTTGCATCCCTTTCACCTTATTATGTCGAAAGGTTCCGGTGGCCCCCACCTTATGCCCACTTCATAGTGCAGTAAGTAAGAGTGATAGTTCATTTTGCTTACTAAATGGGAATGCAATTAAGCCACTGATTGATCTAATGAATGCAGCTAAGATTGCCTAAACACATATACATCAGCACAAATGTAGCAAATGATCAACACAAACAGTGACAACCTGAATACATGCAGCTAAGATTGCCTAAACACATATGCAGCACAAATATGAATCTTAACTAAATGAATCTTATGAGATCAACCACACCATTCTTTGATCAAATGCATGCACAGTTCAAGAACTTATCAGCAACACAAATGTAGCTAAGTTTGCGCAAATTACTTTAGCACAAATGTAGCAAATGATAAACACATGCAGCACAAATGTATCGACCATAAAATAATACATCCAAGAACTCTCACAAATTAGAGTCATTTTCTTGTTTTAAAACAGAAATAGTTACAACAAAACTCATTGTTGATACATTCAGACTTCATGCTCGGATTTTTCAAATTGCCACAATTGCTCGAACCACCCACAATTGCTTGAATCCCAAATGCTCGAACCACCAACGTGCATGTGCAAGTGCAACTGCCACCTGAAATGATTCATAAAGTCTGGTTACACAAGAGTAGAAAATAAATAAAAGATAATTAAATTGTTCTATGTTATATGTCGACTCATGCATGGAACCAATTATTATATGCTTGAAAGCGAAACAGAAAATGGAAGCAAATAGAAAGCCAAAAGGGAACAAATTCCGACATACTTACATGAACAAATCCATGCACGTGGAGCTCAAGAATCCAGACATATTTTCGTTTAGCTGCAAATCACATGACAAATTAATCATAAAATTGTACCAAGGCAAAAATTATGTGTTATGAACTTTCATGAAAAAATATGTACTATCCCTTGGCAAGTTGACTTTACAGCTAGTTCTATAATGTCCGAGCTCACCACATCTGCTACATATACGTTTCTTCCTTTCTTTCTTTTTTTGTGCTTGTTCTAAACTTGACTGGATTCTAGTTGCATTACGTGGACGACCTTTAGTCCTTGCAGCTCTATCAGGATCACGAACTGTAATCTGAGGAATATGCTCCACTGTATGTGAGATGTGTATGGAAATTTGAGGAGTGTCCACCATTTGATCTTGATTTGAGGAATGTGCTCCATCTTCTTCTTGCAGTGGTTCTATAAATTTTGTTAGCACATCATCTAGATTTTGCATCTTCTCTTCTGAAGCAAATGCAAGCTCGAGCGTATTATTGAATTTTGCTCTTAAGGCCCAAGATTTCAATAAATTAATCTTCTCTTCATAGCTTATGATGTTTCTTCCATATATAATGTTGCCAACCCTAATGTTACAATGTCGAGCATGTATAGTCCAACAGTGAAAGATGTAATGGTGGGGTAATGAATCCATTTGCCTAGCCATCATTAGCGATAATATATATCTACATACAACACCATTAGTTTCAAACAAAGCACAAGTGCAACGGAACTGCATCTAACTAGATTGCTCATAAGTAACCGCCTCCCATTTTTCTCTATCTGTAAACTTACAGACCTTGTATTCAACAATGTTCCCATCTTTTAACAATTCTTCACAAAACTCTGTAACAAATCCTTTGAATTCAGTTTGGAACACATCAAATATATTGCGTGTATACATTTCTCCAGCTTGGACCTCAATTGGATGTCCAAGGAGCATGACAGACTTTGTGTTAAGACTCTTAAAATCTTCATGGGCTTCACTTAAGCGACGATGTGTTACCGCTTTTTCATACTGTGTCACAAACTCGTATAATTGAGTCTGTGAGTTAACATACCCATCAAAAACTGCATTAATGTAAGGACCATGAATTTTTGATACTAGTTAAAATAATTTTTTAGTATTTTAAAATATTTAATTATGATTTTTAAAATAGTATTTGTATTTTTCTTGATTTTCTACAATTTACTATGATTTAAAAAATCTAATTATATATTTATTTAAATGATTTTGATATTTATAAATTTATTTTGTACGGTAAAAAATTTCTAGAATTAATTTATTGTGTTATCGGTACTATTACGTAATATTTTAAATAATATATTGTATTATTAATATTATTACAAATTATTTTATTTTGTACGGTAAAAAATTTCTAGAATTAATTTATTGTGTTATCGGTACTATTACGTAATATTTTAAATAATATATTGTATTATTAATATTATTACAAATTATTTTATATAATACATAGTATTATTAATTACTTATTATTTGAGTAAATTATTATATTATTTGTATTTGATTTTAAATTTAAGTAAAAATATTTTTATTATTAATTATTCTTGTTTAATTATACAATATGGGTATTTTTTAACTATTTCGTATCAAATATTGTATTAGCTCAACATGTACGTTTTTATTTGTAGATAATTATCCCGTATTTATTTTAATTTTTAAATACCTATAACTATTTATTTTAATTAATTTCGTTTTAAAGTATATAACCCTAAACCCTAATTATATATATATATATATATATACCTATATATATATCTCTCTCCTCTCTCTCTCTCTTCCCCGATCCTACCCTCGAACGCCGCTGCACCCGACCACGAACCTCAACCCCGACGACCCCGACCTCCGGCCTCCGCCTCCCCGAACCCATCGCCGTGCCCTGCTCGCCCAGATCCGCTCCACGACGCCTCTCGTCGTCGGACAGCCGTCGACCACCAGTCCACCGCCCTGTTCGCCGCCAGCGAAGCCCCCTCAGCCGCCTCCATCCCCCAACAGTCACCCTCCGCCTCCAGTCCTCCATCTCCGGCTCCCCTTGACCACCGACGTCGACCACCCAACTCCGTCGACTCCCCGCTATCCTTCATATTTGCCGAACACCCTCTGTCCCTCCACGAGATCCCGTTGACGTCGCCGTTCAGATCCGTCGCCCTTCAGCACCGACGCATTGCACCGACAACGTCGATTAGTTCGACGAAAACCCCGAGGCAAGATCCCGCTTCCTTTTGACTCGTCAATTCAATTTCTGGATCTATTGTGAATTATTTATGCTGTAATATGATTAGTTATAACTAGTATATTGCGATTATCTGCGTGGGACTGTTGACGACAATATTAAATGATTTCAAATGATAAATTAATGTTTTTCTAGATTAATTAGAATTATTATTATGAGAAATAATTTTTAAAAGAGTTTATTTTGGAAAAATGGTTTAATTTGAATTATTATAATAATAAATAAGTTAGAAGAATTTATTTTGGAAAATGGGTTAGTTTTGAATGTTAAATAATTTTAATGAAAATTTTGGAAAAAGGGATTATTTTTAAAGTAATCTATTTTGGAAAAGATTATTTTTGGAATTAACCAATTTATGATCATGATGATTGGAAATTGCGACATTTCATATGAAATTATTTGATAGTCGTAGTTCCATCTTGCATTGTTATTAGTAGTTGTTCACGTTTCCTGTTCATGATTCATGACACTGTTACATAGTATTCATTGCTTTTATACATTGTTATAGTTGAGAATCGCGAGTATTGCTTGACCATAGTGACCCGTGAGATATGAGTTGTTGACTTGGACTTGGGATGGGAAGATCTGGGTTCATGTTATCGGATATGTTGTTATTTATTTCCAGGCTCGCACCAGTGAATCGTTTCGCACTGGGGTGAGTCTGAGGAGCAGTGATCGGATGTGTATTGTTATTCCAGGCTCGCACCAGTGAATCATTTCGCACTGGGGTGGGTCTGAGGAACGGTGATATTGAGATTATTGTTTATTTCCAGGCTCGCACCAGTGAATCGTTTCGCACTGGGGTGGGTCTGAGGAGCAGTGATCGGATGTGTATTGTTATTCCAGGCTCGCACCAGTGAATCGTTTCTCACTGGGGTGGGTCTGAGGAGCAGTGGTATTGTGATTATTGATTATTTCTAGGCACGCACCAGTGAATCGTTTCGCACTGGGGCGGGTCTGAGGTACTAGTGAGATGTGGTTGTTAACCAGATATCCGATAATATGAACTTTGACTCTGTGTGAGATGTGAACCAGTGACCTGTATAAAATGGCTAGTTACATGACCTCGTTCTTGGTTAGGTATGAATTCTTGTGAGAGGTAGTCCAGTTGTGTTTCTTTTCATACATAGATCGGGGTCAATATTTAATTATCTACAATTTGAGACATATGGTATATACATGAGGGTTTCCTTGTTTGGATTATTTCGCTCGACGTACTACGTCTCTTGTTGTAGATTTTTAAGTATTAATTCCATCTATTGTATGACCTTGTGACTTGGATGATTTCTGATCGCTAGCTGCATGATCGTCTTGTTACTTGATTGATTTTATTGGATTTCTGTTGCATGTTTCTTTATCATTTCTGTTGTTATTTCGTTTTCGCATTGGATTTTTGTTCGCTCTTTTTGTTTTGTGGGGTCGGGTCTTGCCGTGCGCCATGCACCTGACGTACACCTGTTTTCTCTGGTGTACGTCAGACTTAGGAGAAGAAC